AGTGGCATTAAGTGCTGTCCTTCAGCCATAAAAGGCGTGATATTATATAATTATATTAATGTGAAAAAAAGCAACAAAAGATATAAAAGTGGCCAAATAGTTTACACAAATAAATACGTCACGCAGCTGATTAAAACACTTCTATTGCGATAACAAACGTTAAACCTAAACAAATAAAGACCAAAGTTGATTGAAGTAATTCTGTGTTCTTTCGTAAATTAATAAAATAAGTGCTTCATTTATTACGGTTGCTTTCTACATTAAACACGATTAGAACTAATTTTCATTAAACATAGTCTTTATTATAATCTTGTTTTTTTTCTTAGAAATTGGAATTATATCCGAGCAGATATTACAATAATAACAATGGTATAGAAATAACATCACCTCTTTTGTTCTCCTAAGATTAAGGGTTATTTTTTTAAAGGCGGAAAATCACCCAATGGTTCCTACCGCCCGGGTGAGGCGAGGGAGTGGCAGACTCTTACTGACTAAAAACTACTCTTTTTCCCTTCCTGGTCTTCGAGCTCTGGTAACCCGTTAATCCTCCGCGACTTCGTGTTCGACCCTAATAGGTCCCATCTGCGATCAAGTCTGATGGCTCTTTATCTCTTTCTTTTTTTTATCTCTGAGGCGCGCGCGGAATGCGACGCGCCGTCCGCTTTGGTCTCTTCGGGTGGGTAATTTACGATGGGGTGAGCCTATACACCGTGAAACATTCCACAGTTCCTCATTCATAACTAACAACCTGTTCCCGTCCTCTGCTGGACATAAGCCTCTCCAATCTCCAATGCCAGGCCACTGAACTCGATCTTCAGCTCTACGCATCCAGCCACGACCAGTTACTTTGTGGATGTCGTCACTCCACATAGCTGGAGGGCGCCTTACACTACGTTTGACTAAACGCGGTATTATAGATTCTTCGACAAATGTGACCGGCTCGCTGCTATTGCAGCTTGCTAATCCTTTGCACGCTTCATGTTACTATAGTCAGAATTTTAATTAGATTCCAGATTTGACAATAGCTACTGTCATTTTGTGAAATAATGATACCACATATAATAGTGTAGTGATGAACACAAAAATCGATAAACAATCAGTGTGTGTGTTTTATAATAAATGTTACAGAAAGTGACAGGATAGCGATAGCGATGACGGCGACAATTTATAAAATAACTTATTACTATAATACATCTATCTGTTTTATTTGTCATGTTCCTTCATGATTACATTTTGTTATTTATTTTACACACAATTATAAAAAAAAACGTCTCAGATCGTTAATTAATCGTCAAAACTAAATTATCGGTTCAGAAAAACTTAATTTCCTGATATACTTAGTTCACGAGAGTAAAATTATAATTATTATAAACGAGAAGAATCGATCCAGAAATATTGCATTTCCATATCGAATAATTTCGCAACGTCACTATTTAGTACTTGTCATAACGTTGCCACACTGAAATTGTCAAATCTGGAATCGAATTAAAATTCCTAGTATAGGTATGAATTTTGGGTTCATAAATTTAACTGCATATTTTACTTTATCTGATAATCTAAATAGGTCGTCACAATTTTTGCTTCAATTGGGTAATTTACTTGCCAACTAGGTACTTAGTCAAATTCAATACTTTTTTCGAACTGTCAAAAACGACAGTATTTTTTATGTATTTTGTACGAGATTGTGTATTGTGACGTCACGTTTTTTAGAGTCAAACAGCATACTTATTTTTTAAAAATTTGCTGGCAAAATACATTATTTTTTTAGATGTTATTGTATTGAACAGTCGAAATATTTTATTGTTGATTAAGGAATGTAGCCAATTACACAATTGCCTTCTTGGCTCTTATTCAGACAATACTAATTTTAACTTTAAGATTAAACAGAAGAAGATACATTTTATGATATTTTTTTTTATACGTATATGCACAAAAATCACAGCTCTAGTTAACCCTAACAATGAAATGCTTATCGGCATTAGACCACGGTGGAAATTATCTACAGTGCTGCCCCCAAAAAGTCAGAACCATTCATTTAGTCTTGACCGTCGTTTCTCAACCCTTTAACCGACAAAGGGGTCTGACAGACCCCATTAATCATTACGACACTGACACCTAATTAACAATTGAAACGTCTGAAGGTCTGTAAGACCGTCTCGGGTCAGTGGGTGCGAGGTAATCTAGTAGGCAAGGGGTTACAACACTTCTGTAATAAATGGTGCGCGTTTTAGGGTTAACATTGAAAATTATCGTAACTTTTTTGAAGTGGAAAACTGGACGAGATTATTCTTAATTTTATTCGAACATTGTTCATTATTTTATTTGAAGACAAGTTTTTATTACTGAGTACTATAAGATAATTAATATCACTACATAGTATTAAACAAAGACGCTATCCGCCGTCTGTCGGTCCCTATGTATGCTTAGATCTTTAAAACTACGCAACGGATTTTGATGCGGTATTTTTACAGGTAGAGTGATTCTTAAGGAAGATTTATATGTATTATACATACATATTGCACCCGTGCGAAGCCGGGGAGGGTCGCCAGTAATATATAAATTAGGTTGAGGTTGTGTACAGTGTCTATTTTTTAACTTTCCTTCAACACGCACATGGCAACACAAACATGATCTGATCCAAAGATGGGAAGACGGGGACTGGGTTCGATTCCCGGGTTGGGCAAAGCATTACTGGGTTTTTTTCAAAAAATCTCAGAGGTAGCACGGAGTCTGGAATTATGCCCGCTATATGGCAATAGGTTCACCTCCTATTGACCATTGTATAATGTTCTATGTTCGCACCTTTGCTATCTATCTCTATACATATAATAAAATCGTGGGAAAGTGAAAACTGTACATCGAATATTTTTTCTTAAGACTGACTGCCAATAAAAAACTGTTGAAGGTAAATCCTCCGCTAACGCCGATCACCGGTGACCCCCATGGCGTTTAACGTGTTAAAGAATGCTATAGGCGCGTGACATGGTTTTTACAATTTTTGTCTGTATGTATGTCCGGGATGAACTCAAAAAGAGCTGCATGGATTTGCTTCAAATTTTGCATGAATATTACTAACAAGTCGGGTCAATATATAGGCTACATATTATCATGCTATCAACTACGGGGGAGGAGCTGTGAATCACTTCACGCGGAGGAAGTAACGAGCTCAGCTAGTATATATATAAACTCGATGTTTATACAACTACATAGTTACAAATACAAATGAGTATCGTGGACAATTCCACAGTGTTAATGTTAATACTTATCTGGAATTCATCTTTGAGGAGTTCTTAATTGGAATCGCCCTCTGAGCATCTCGCTTGGGTAATGGTGCTGATAGACGGACGACTTTGTTGCTACATTTCGTTGAAGTAGCGATTATTTTTGTGTAAGGAGAGTAAAATATGTGCAATTTAGGAAATAAATAATAACATAACATCACGCCTTTTATCCCCTAAGGGGTAGGCAGAGGTGCACACAGAAGTAACACCCACTTTTCACTATTTGTGTTATGAGTCCCATGTAATAGGGGGTGAGCCTATTGCCATTACCGGGCACATTTCCAGACTCCGTGATACTACTGAGATTTTTTATTAAAAACCCAGTAATACTTTGCCCGACCCGGGAATCGAACCCGAGACCTCTTGCCCAGCAGTCGCACTTGCGCCCACTCTGCCAACGAGGCAGTCATGTCAGTGTCAGTCAGGTTACTTTTGGTGGCTTGTGATATTTGAACTCCTGGGTTGATAGTGAAAGGTGTCACATTGTATAGAGGCATAATGTGCACCTCTGCTTACCCCTCCGGGGGTAAAAGGCGTGATGTTATGATGATGACCAAAAGTAGCCCACAGAATCGCTCGTCTACACCATCCCACTATGAACTGTTGCTCAGAGACAAAAGGAATTCGCTGTCTGATTTATCGTAAGCTTCGACTAATGGCGGATTTCCAGATATAAATTACTTAGAGACCCGGAGGCCGACAATTAACAATGCTTCCCTAATGTATCGAACAGATTTGGATACAGCGTTCTCTGAGATCTGAATCGTGTACTTAATTCGTTGTTCACCCACTTCTTACAAATTGTGCGAAGAGTATTTAATTGATTTTCTTGATTAAAACTTTGAAGAGGATTTTGTTTAGTTGTGATATTTTCTTAGCTAATTTTAAGGGTCTTAGCATCTATCGCTTGGTAATATGACGCCTGTATATTGTATTCTAATGAGCCGCACAAGTCTATGACATATATTTTACTGTTACTATATTTTTCAACCTGCGACAGCCGGGCAAGGGGTCTCGGGTTCGATTGCCGGGTCAGGCAAAGTATTACTTGATGGAGTGTGGAATTGTGCCCGGTATATGGCAATAGACTCACCCCCTATTACATGGTACTCATAACATATATAGTGAAAAGTGGGTGTTAAATTGTACAGTGGCATTAAGGTGCCGTAATGTGGACCTCTCTCTTCGGGGATAAAATCAGGAAGAAAGATGTTATCTTATGCTATATTTTAACCCTGTTTATATTACTGTCGCGGAATGCTGCTCATGAATATGAGCCTCTAGCATAGCTTGAAACTAGTCGAGTTCCTCGTCAAATTATTACGTGAGTAAGCCGAAAACATAATAATTAATATTTCTGATCTCTTTACTTCTTGTTCCGATTTCCAAACACTCACGTAACTATTTCCATAGATCTTCTAGTAATCCTATGTTTGATAATATATTGTTTGAAAAAAATTATAACATCGTCAACGCGAGAGTTTGGATGTCCTTTTTGGGCATTCAAATTGTATTAATTTCATTTATTTTAAGAAGGCTTACAGACTAATACATAGAAAATGGTTTTATAAGAGTATAATATTGACAAATTGCTAATTAGAAGTGCCACAAAATGCGTCATCATTTTCGATAAACCGCCATAGTAGAACCTGCTTTATGCAAACCTGAATGGCCCAGCAATAAAATTCTATCCTCTTACAGAATACTTGATGGACTCACCTCCACCACAGGTAGCAGAGCACAGTGACCCTGGAGTGGCGAGCCAGTGGTACCGGGGTCTGGAGCAGGAGGACCCGTCACCACCACATACACCACACTCGTCGACTCGTCGTGTAGACCCCACTCGGAGGTCACAGCCTACGCGCTGGGGACAAAATAGAAATAAAGTTAGTCACGGTTCATATTTTAGTTTTTTGTTAACTTTATATTATCATCATCATCAACATCAACAGCCGGAAGACGTCCACTGCTGGACAAAGGCCTCCCTCTTAGTCCTCCACGTCGAACGACAACTCGCCACCCGCATCCACTGGCTCCCCGCAACTCTGGCGATGTCGCTAGGTACCTTTATATCTCTTTTAGAGGACCCGGCTCCTCCATTCAGGTGTTGAGGGTGGCCACCGGGGTGGTTTTAGTGAGGTAAAAATCCCACGCTCCCTAGTCTTTTATCCCCAAAAAGGCTAGGTGCCTTTTGAAGATTTCGCAACGTCATCAAAAAAAAAGGTACATTTATATGTTTCTTTATAATTATTACGTGATATTTTATGCATTCTTAATGTTTATAAATGCAAAAAGGCGTTATAAGGTTGCTGATGTAGTAGATTTATAACAAGTACAATGATTTGTCAAATTAGAGCTAATAGACTAAAAAAACTGCAAACAAATTATCAATGATTAAAGCATACATGGAGAAGTTTTTGAGCGTCGTTATTATAAAGAAGGGTCAAAAAAGGCTCAGAATTGTTCACAAAAAAAGGTTTCTTGATAGGGGGTGGCAGATGACCCGATGAGTTACCTAGTGATAAGCGGTCAGCGCCGCCCATAGATACCCGCAACACCAGAGGATCACATGCGTTGATCGCCTTTTGAAGTACCACACAAAGTCTTTATCAATATGTTTTTAATTACCTGTGATTACCTGACCTATTGTATATTTTCACCACATCAAAATGTATCCTTAATGAATATTCCACCGTTTAAACGCAACGCACTGATTTGTCACACAGCAATTTCCATAGCCATTCACCGCTTTCCATAACTATGAAATACTACCTTATTGCAAGCAAATTACAGTATATTTTCATTTACAGCAAAGTGGTAAATAAACAATGGTAATTATGCAGCTGCACTGAGTTATATTGCTTTAATAATAAGGCATATAATTGCTTGCTCTGTACGTTACGTGGAAATGGTGGCCGGATGCCTAGCTGGCGTTCATTACTTGTATGGAGAAATTGAATTAAGCGAATAATTTTTGCTTCTGTTTATGTTTATTGTGAAATAGAGCATATTATTATGCTTTATCAAAGTATTATATTCTCTTTACTAATAGTAGGGTGAATTAAGTTTAACTGTAGAAGATTGAAGGTTTTGTTTCTATTATTAAAAAAGTAATTTATCAAGCTCGATTTGATCTGAGAAACGAACCCGAAACTGTGTAATTGGTTGACACTGTAAGTCCCACTACTAACATCACGCCTTTCTTTCCCCGATGGGGTAGGCGGAGGTGCATATTACGGCGCTTAATGAAGAAGATCAAAAACTGAAGAAGGTATTTTAACAACAATTTATACATACAGAAAAATAAAATTGAAGTGTCTGTTTGTAATATTAAAATAACCGCTTTTTACTACATGCATATGAATTTACATTACATACGATACCTTTACTAAAATTACATATTTTAAAAATTTAGTCTGTCTGTTTGTACAAGCTAGTTTCTGAAATGGCTGGACCGATTTTGTTACTGGCAGATAGCTGATGTACTTACTAAGAAGTAACACAGGCTATTTTTATTTTGGAAAATTGAAACAAAACTCGTATTATACGCGGACGAGTTCACAGGCAACAGATAGTAAATACTACAAACATCGAAAATCTCTAACAACACAAAGACTAACATAACCAATCGTTAAGATTCAAAATCAGTTGAACAACATCTGTCGATTACAAGCAGTACCCAATATCCCGGCATACATGAACGACGAACAAATCTCCACCCTAACATACATTCAGAATAAATCCTGAAAATCAGTTTGAACCACATTTTCAGCAATAAATTACATAGATATGTACCTCTAGGGCTGCTCATCGTTTATTCAGACCTCTGAATTCAGGGATCGCGTACAGTCTTGGAGAATTTTCCGATTATCATAATAAAGTAGATGCTCTATCCCTTTCTTGTGTCCAAAGTTTGTATGTGTTAGAAAGAGAGATAGTAAGGTTGTTATTGAGCTTTAAAAGTATAGGGGATTTGATACATTTATTTATTGGTCCAGGTTGAGATATTGAAGAGTGGACTGAAGTGTCTAAGGATCACCAGTTACGGTTCTCATGTTTTATTAATCGGTCCAGTGATCTTTTGTCGTGAAGGTAAAGGAGTTTGTGGATTTGTTTAAGTTAGTTGGTGTATTTCGTGAATGGAAATGTATGGAGATGGAAGAGGAAGTTTGTATGTTACTTATAAAGTTATGATTTTTTATTCGAATACGAATCGGCATCGGCCCTGTTGGAACCCATCTGTGATGGTCTGATGGCTCTTAGAGGAGCGCGCGGAACGCGACACGCTGTACGCTCGGGTCTGTTTCTGGTCGGACGGGGAGCCACGGCCCGCGCTTTCGGTGTCCGGAGATCGTCCCGCGATCCCCGATGCCCGATCCGATTGTGTCCTTCGCGATGGCTGAGTTGCGAGGAGGCAGCGCTTCTCTGCCTCACGCGCCCCGCCTCCTCCTTAGCTAGCATAACTGCTTCGCAAAAGGAGAAGAATCCAGGTGAACAAAGTGGAATAAACCTTCTGCTAATATCTTCTCGAAAGACCCTAAAGAGTAATTACCATCAAAACTACCGAACTATTAAAGATAATTAGTAAAACTTGACCCACAAAACTTGAAGAGCACACATATAAAACTCAAACTCCTTCAAAGTCGAAAGAACACGATCTTTATATAAAACCATTGACCAATCAAGCTGAGGAGAAAGTTCCTGAATAAGTATTCGTAACGTACCGCTCGGGATTATGCAAATTCCACTCCAGAAGTTCCCACTTAAATAATATATGAAATTATGCAAAATACGTTCGAGACGTGGAGTTTTGAATCACAGTTGTATCACTTTTTGAGTGGTTTCTGCGTGCTACACTTCGTCCTTGAATGTCGAAAGAAATTCGCAAAATGGCCGACACGAAAACTCGGTGTCTATAACTCCATACTGTCCGTTTAAGGACGTTCCAGTCTTTAAAAATCCCTTTTCATCGTTGTTCATCGATATGTTTGGGGTCTTTTATATTCAAAGTTTGTCTCCTTAGGACTTTTGAAGTGAGGTCCCAAATATTTCGTTCATTGTTACTGGGTCGAGTTTAAGATAGTGGAAAAGTTTGTTTTATAAACGGATCGTCTCATTATCAAGGATTCGATGAGCACTGACTTGTTCAACGAATCATAAAACATTGCTTTTGTTTGGGTACAGCGTTTGATCGAATTAATGGGATCAAATATCCGGAATGCTTGAAAGATTAAATTTTTTGAAGTAAAACTCTTATAATATCTATTTTATAATTGTAAAGAGCGGTAAAAGAAGACGAAAATTTATTAACTCCTATAAAGATGACTGTTTAAAGGTAAATAAGTTCGATTTGGAAGACTTTAGGGAGGCCTATGTTCAGTAGATGACTTCTTGTATTGTTACGGATGTGATGGTAATGACTAATGATGATAAAGTAGGTCCAGGAATCTTCAGAACTCTGATCAATAAATGTAAAAAAACATTGCAGTAGGTGCCATAATTGATAGTATGTTTTATACACATCATGTTTCTTCGTCTATAAATACCATTAACGAAAGTTTTAAAACTGTATCAGATCTCTAAAACAACACAAATTCAAAACCAACCAATAATTTCTTTGTAAACTAAGTTTAAGAAAACCATCTTCAACCCACCCTTTTCAACCGACTTCAAAAAAGGAGGAGGTTCTCAATTTGACTGTACTTTTTTATGTTTGTTACTCGATTACTCGAAGACGCCTGGACCGATTTCAAAAATTCTTTTTTTGTTTAGAAGGGAAGGTTTAGTCTAGTCACTGATAGATTAGAAGTCGGTGCCACAAACCCATAATTATATATATCTTAGGTAATGGTCACAGGTATAATAATCTATACTAATATTATAAAGAGGAAAGATTTGTATTTTTGTATTTTTGTATGTTTGTAATGAATAAACTCAAAAACTACTGAACCGATTGCAATAATTTTTTCACCATTCGAAAGCTGCATTATTCAGAAGTAACATAGGCTATATAATATCACGCTAGGTCCTATAGTTGTGGAGCAGTAACCAAAAATGTTTTAAAAACGGGGGAAAAGTATCGTTTCTGAGGCCTTCCGTGGCGTGCGCTGAGCATATAGTTAAAGTTATACAAAAATGTTCTATAGATGAATTGTTTATCTTAACATTATTTTTAAAAAAGTCCGCGAGAGCATATGTCTACCTTATATAGTTTACCCATAACAATCGTTTTAATGAATGGTTCAATCCTTATAAAAGTTTGCTCTAGATAACTTTTGAATTGTTCAATTGGTTACCTTAAGACGCGACATCGACAACGGAGGGCAGGTCGCTAAAAAAAAACTGAGAATAAATATAAATAAAACGTAAAACTATGTAAATAATCTTAAGTCCCCCCGTGCGAAGCCGGGACGGGCCGCTAGTTTCTTTTATAAAATCAGTTCAAGAAAACCGTCCTCAACCCTCACTTTTTGGAGTCGGTAGTCAAAGTCAAAGTCAAAATCATTTATTTCAATTAGACCAGTAAGGTACTTTTGAACATCAAAACAAAATATTTAAATATTAAATAATAAGAAAAAATGTCAGTCTGTAGGTCAGTCCTCTAGTGAAAGGTAAATTAAGTAATATATTAAAACCTTCTCCTAAGTGTAACAAACATTTTTCTAAAAACATTAAAATCAGTTCAGTTAATTACGAGATAGGTAATCATGCACAAAGATACATACATAAAGGTCAACCTTCCACCTACTTTTTTTTGAATTCGTTTAAAAGATCAACAACATAGCTACCTCTTTATTCTTCTTCAAAAACTCCTACCGACGCGACGTTCAAGTATAAGTCTATAGCTATAAAATACACTGTGAT